ACAACTTTGCTTTATTCAGTTACTGCAGGTTTTCATGGTTTTATTTTGTGCACTCTGGTGATAAAATATTTATCATAGTGGAGCACCATAACTAAGAGAAAATCGTAAACCATGGAGTCGATTATGGCCGTCACAGGGTTTCCACCACAGGAATCCCATAAACCGCGCGAAAATAGAAATATGAAATATTCGCCATATTTGCTGGAAAATCAATATTTTGTCATAATATCGTCAATGATAAAGTAGGAGAGCCGAGTATATTATTAAAAAAAAACAGGGATTTATATTACCGCCAATTTTTGATAAACTGCATGAGACGCGCCGTTTGCACATCCGGCAAATTTGATTATTGTGAAGTATGAAAAACAGTGCTTTTTTTCAAGCTCACATAAAGCAAGACTTGGGCTCGAAATTTAAGGAAACATTAAAAAAGAAAAAGAAAAATTAAAGCCAAKCGAACTTCAATGTCAACTTCTTTCTTTCCGATTGTTATTATACATATTRAATGTATTAAATGTACGCCTTGCATTTTCTGCTCATTTTTCTATGAGTGCTGGACATTTTATTTATTTATTTGTTTTGTTAGATCAACTCGATCTTTCTGGGAGAACCTCCAACCAACAAGCGGCCGACCCTATGCATCAAGCCTGAGAAAGTTTGATCCCGTGTTTTCCTTGAATACGGGGCATTCAGATATGAAACAATACAGTGAAATGACCACCGAAGAAGAAATGAAGAGTTTGCGCAGAAGAGTCAACAAACCCTGATATTKTGGTCTTTGCCCAGACAAGAAATATCACAACGCACAGTGGGAATGGCAAAAAATGTCAAAAGTCCTTGATTTCTAAATAAAATATGAAGTGATTTTTCAAATATACATTTTGTAGATAAATAAATGATGGAAGAKTCTTTTAAGGTTTATAATACTTTATTTGACATTTTCATCAAACAATAACTAAAAATGCATGCCTCTTATATTTTATATAGCTTAAAATTTCCTTTAACTTYAAGTTATTTACTGCCAAATACGTTCCATGTTTATTTCAGTTTCAGGTACAGATTAAGACGAGCAGAAACTGCTGTAATATTATTCAGGGCGAATTAAACTGAGCTGCAACAATTATAGAACCAAATATATCATTATTTTTACAGGTATTCCTTCAAAGCATCGTAGATTTCTTCTGCATGACTGTTACTTATGGAAACTTAGCAAAAAGATTCTAATCGTCAAAGTGTTCAYCATGATCTTGAATAATGTATTTCGAATCATGAAACTAACCCCTATCTGATCATGTTTTTAAAGTGTTGTCTATAACAATMCCGATCGCATGAAACGTTTTGGGATTGTATTTTAATAAAAATATAAATAAAAATATAAATGACTGACATTCTTAGTGTATCTCTGYCAACTTCTGTATTTCTTTTTTGACTGCTGACTGTCTTAGTTAAGTTCGGCAGCTTTGCATCGGTTAAAGTTACCCAAACCTGCATCAACACATTACTGTCTGCCAAAACTTACGTAGTGTGATCATTATGACTCTCCAGCAAGCGACACGGAARCGACGGATCCTTAGACTGTACACCAAAAAGTTCATCGACGAGTTAGAAAGCCTGATTGTATAAAACAGTGCAAAATTGTTCGGTGCATGTATTGTCATTCCACACCAATTTGCAATSCCATCTTCTATTAGATTATGTATTATACCGACAACCCAGCAAAGGAAGAACAGTAAGGTGACAAYACCAATTGTTGCCGACACTCGATTTTCCGTGGATCTGTTCTGTACAGCAGCGGACGGGGCAGGCGGTGAGATAAATCTGTTGGACTTTATCTTGTAAAGGATTGCGCTATATGAGCAAAGCATAATAGCAAAGCCGGACAGGGTAATTATCACTTTAACACGTGCATTAATTTCATCGAGAATTAAATGAAMYTTWTGCCGATGAAGGCATGAAAAGCATGCAAGTRCAGCYGCAACTCCCCAGCAAGCACCAATCATCACCTTATACCATCTYTTGATAATGMAGCGATATTGGTGAGGCTTTATGGTGCAAAGTGCTCGGTCAATACTTATTGAGACAAGGTGGAATAGCGAGCTGCCAATAGACAGGTTTCCTACMATGCTGTAGACAATTYCCAATACACGAACATRGTCGCATCGATCATGTGAAAGCAGAACGCTTACAGTAAAAAGAGGCTGTGCRATCAWTGTCACCATTAGATCTGCTACTGCTAAACTCAGAATGATGAAATTCGACACTTTACGCCTAAGTTCAGGAGTAACTAGAACAGCAAAGATGATCAGCATGTTCCCAAGCGTTCCACTTACAGAAAGAGTCAAGTTTACAGCTATGAGTACTGTCCTCTCAKCTGAAGATATCACGAATTCTTGCTTGGTATTTTCAACGGTGGACTCGTTCRTACTTAYAGAAACGTTGGAAAGGTTTCCAAGTTGAGGATTATTCACTGACATGTTCAGGCAATTCTTTAGCGGATTCTTCAAATGATTTTTAAAAAGGATTCCCAGTTCTTTCTGTCGCTTTAGAGGTCTGTACAAAAAATGAAATTTTGACTTGTTGATGTTCTTAGAGCTGTGGTTCTCTGACAATGAAGAATTGTTGTGCTTGCCCTCACTTTTATTAGACAGTTATGTAGCCCATTCTAATTTATGTTCAGTGACAAGATTCTCTGAATATTACTTAAAACTCCGATAAAACTTGTAAAAATAACAATCTATATATACATAATGATATAGGTTATTTTCAATCACAGACGCATACAGTAAAAAAAGCCTTATCAGCTGGCCTTTGCAGCGGCTGGTTATACATTTTAGCAATGTTCTATTGTATCTAAATRATAAAAGAACACCGACAAAACTTATGAAAAAACTTATGAAAAAAAAACTTATAAAACGACTTAAAATAAACTTATTTTAATTTTTAATTTTTCTATGAAAATAGAACTAAAACGGCCTTATTAGAGGGCCATCTGCAGCTGGTTCCTTTTTAGCAATAATCTATTGTATTCGAAATGAAAGAAAAAAACGACTTTCCATCGATCTCTGTTTATCGACCGATTTAGGACTATTAATTTGACTTCATAGTGACGTATTCCATCTAATGCATGACGTCATTCAGGGTTTGTYCAATAATATTTTTCATATTTTTCTTTCGTTGACTTCAACGTCTAAGTGCCTTAACGCGCTTAGACTGATTAGCACGGAACAAGTTTCGTTTATTCTCAAACCTTTTCAATCGCCAATAATGTTTATTTTATTCAACGAAGTCTCATTCGTCTCGTGAATGTAACGATTTAACTGAATAAATCGGAAATGGGCARACAGGTGGTTTGAATCTCGAAAGGCAAGGTTAGAAACAGTAGGCAACCTTCAGGAAATATCCATGCCAATGAAAGCATAACTGACAGGGGAAAAAACSTCTAATAAAAACCTATCGCGCTGACGCAAATCAATGAAAAACAAATTCAGATAGACACACTGATRTGCGTCAAACCTGCGGGAGAGAGGCTCGTTTTTCAAAAAGGTTCTTTGCGGAAGTGGAAGAAATCCTGTTTCTCCCTCGATATTTTCTCATGTATATCCTGATAACAAAAATATCTTTTGATCATGATGTCATTCAAATTGCTTGGATCGAACCATCCTGTAAAAAAGTCCCAAGTTAAAAATGCTTGGCACTGTAAAATTTCTTGAAAATGTTCCTTAAAGTGATTTTCAAATTCTGATTTAGTTCATGGTCAATGCTGTGTTTAAGGGTGTGATCTTAGCATGGAACTAGTTCTGAACCCCTTTAATTACACAATATCTGACCAGAAAAACATCGTATCGATTGATTTTAAAATTTTAATCATTTCGTATCAAGTTATCTAGATCTTTCCTTACACTATGTTCATGCAGCAATATTGAAGTCCCAAGTCAACAGTTGACATTTGGAATTCTTGCTTGATGTTTTCAACGATAGACTTGTTCATACTTACAAGTAGGGAAAGCTTCCGAGCTGAGATGAGAATTGTTGCCTGGTAAATCCATGTTGAAATGGATGCTTAGCTCTTGCTTTTTAATGGTCCTCTTCTGATCTACTGATTTTTGTCATGTGTGTTTCTTCTGATTTATGCATGGCTTCCTTTCTTGTTTTGATAGTTTACGAAAGATTGCGAAAAACTAAGCTTTCTAGTTATTTGGAGATTTTGATGGTATTATTAGAGTTGGAGTTCTAGGACAATGAAGATTTATTGTGCTTTTCCTGTTTGAATCAGTTATTCTTTTAGCAGATTCTTCAATTTTTTTAACACTTGACGCATTTCCAGATGAGGAACTCGCGCATAAAAGCGGAACRGATTAAAAYAGGTTCTTGGTTGTGGMTTAAAAGMCAGACAAAAAACTGTTAAAAACATTTGTTTTCCATTCAATGGAGAACCCGATGTCAGCGTGCCATGCCATCTGCAGCTGGTTTAAGCATTTTAGCGATGATCTGTATTAACACATCTGAATGGGGGGGGGGGGACTGCTGGCTAAATATACTAAATCATGAAAGAGACAAATGAGATAATTTTGGAGTTTTCTTTATTTAAAATCAAGGGTCTAAGAATACATTTAGTAAAAAAGCGTTAAAACTTAGTAATTCTATTTTATACTGCTTTATGCTAATTATTTTGTTTTACTTTAACTTGTTCAACTAGCACTATTTTGCCCAATTTACTTATTAGTGTTTCACGCTTTTGCTGAAAGTAGCTCCAACATTAAACACATTTCGGAGCAAAAAAGGAAAGGCTTGACAAATTATTTGGCATGCACTCATGATAAATGTGTCTTAGTATATTGCCTTGCGTGGAGTTATCCTCGGCAAATGCAACGAGATGGGGGACGCTGATTTTCAATAAAGTATCCACTATCTTTGTAGACCTTCATCTTACTTTATGCTTAGCCTCGTCCCCAGGCAACTCTTTTTTCCTCCTTTTGGCTTCCTTTGAAACGGTCATCTTGGCCACTAGGGCCTAATTCTCCCTMWTCTTAAATCCAAAAAAGACAGGAAGCCCGTGAGTCTTAGTGATGCCTGCGGAGTAGGCTACTTTGCGCTATTATGCGTTTTACGTTGAGCCCACATTTATGACATTATTCTTGCTTGTTTTCTTGATAAGAAGACATCGAATTAGAATGCAAATCATTTCGAAGACTTCGCAGATAGTCAAGGCTGACAGACCGATCCAGACGCCCATCTGTCCACCAATATTTGACATGAGATCCTCGAACTATTTCAATGAGGAATAGAATTGTTAGAAAATAAAATACATCATCTTATATGCAGCATGCGTGCAGAAAAATACATGTCAAGTAGCAGTGCAGACCGTCCATTAGAAATGAAGATAGTCGGCTCGTTCATTTTGGCATTCTGGTCTTCTCGCACAGAAAACACCTGTTTAGCGCATCATGCGAACGGCCATAGTAAGGGTTATAAATATCAGAAACTTGACTGCAAATCAAATGAACCACAAACCATGGATGCCATARACTTACTCCGTATTTCAGCGTCTCTTCAACTCGTAGATAGTCAAGCTCGGCAAAGTAAACCCTTAACTCAAGGAGATTTTCACTGTAATAGAAAAATATAGAACTCGGTAAATGCTGGCGATTTCAAAAGGTTTTGATCGAACGTGTCTGTAGGAAATACTTGATATTACTAACATGATAGCAATTGAAATCTAGCTCAAGAAGTAGAGGACGACATCGTTTATYTATAATAAAGCTCAGGTAGAAATGCAGTAGCCTCTGCCACTGAATTCTTTATATAAAGACGTTTTCCGAGCGAGTGGGATTCCTATAGTGAGGGACGTCGCCCCTGAGGCAGAGTGAGAGAGGGAAATGCCCATGCAGGGGAGGCTAGAAGTGGAGCATGAAAAGTCGATAATATCTTGCATTGCTTCAGCTCCTGCRCATAATCCTCGCTTGAACTGTTCGATTAACTTCGTCCATATACGTTCCCTTTGCAATTTCCTTCAATGATGAAATCTCTCTGTTTTAATTAATTCTTGTGTTAATATGCACAATATGATTTTATCATAGTCAAACATACCTTATTTCAGTAGCAGTCATATTCATATGAAAATCATTCTTTAACGCTTCGATAAGATTATCCTAGMATTAAAAAATAGACCATATTAAGTCTTGTACTTTCTCTTTGACTAACATCAGTCGCACATCATCATCCTTTATAGTACAGAAGATCCCAATTTGCGATACGAACCGCATTCAAAAAATAATATAACATATAAATATTGATTAATTATGAATTAACATTTATACTTGTCGGGCGCACACTGATGTATCTGGCATGGCATTGCTTTACATCCAAAGTTGCGTACACTTATGTATTATGGACATACCTTATAATTGTTTGCAGGCCACTGTGATGATGATATCGTCGTCGTAAAAAACTGTTCCCTAATCGTAAAGATCACTGTTAAATGTTGGTGATCTTTGCATACTACATATTACTATAAACATGATCCTTATTAGAGTATCTACTAACACCTCCCCCCCCCTCTCCCCCTGTGCGGACCCGTTCTGCTTTGATAACGGGGCGATTAATTCCCATACCGCCTTCACAGGGGGCAAAACAAACCCAATCTCGGTAGGGGTGTGGCGTTCCAGAAAAAGTCTCCAAAGTTGATCCTCAACATAAACGCCTGATATAAAAGCGTGACAATYAGGACATTGCCAACCCGTAAAGCAATAACACCGGATTAAAAAACTCATACATAATTAATGAGCT